ATACGCCCGTTCAGAAAATACGTCATCACTGGCATCTTATTGTGGTAAGTGAATGTTGGATGTCAACATTCAACCTTTAACACATGAAAATTTATAAAAGTGCGAAAAAAGTCATTAATATTCATTTGTAGCCGAATAAAAGGTATGTATAAGATTCCTACATGAAAAGTATTCACTTCTGATACCATATTTTAAAATAAGATTCGTTTGAATTTAAATAATGTTGGATTATTCGCATCAACATAACCTCATTCTAACTTACGGTTTGATTTCTATTATTTTAAGGTATAGAAAATGGAAGCAAGTCACGCTATCAAATTTTATTTAATAGCCGACTTATTCAAAGAAGATGTGAACCAGCTTAAACGGGGAGAAAATGCGTATTCAAGTGGGCACGTCAAGAAAATGCTTTTTAATGCTGAAACGCAACCTGCATTTTTAAAAGGAGAAGTTCAAGCGAGCATGAAGAATAAAGTGTATAAGGTTGAGGTAATTACTGCTACTAATTAATAATAGCAAAATTTATATTTTGGTCACAGGTGCACATTCATTTAAACGAAGGTGTAGTTTCAACCCAGTGTTCTTGCCCAAGGGGGCAAGCCCTTTGCCATCATATTGCTGCACTTCTATATCATGGACATTATAACATCAGCTCTACGGATAAGGCGAGGGAATGGGGAGTGAAGGGAAAAGCAGCCGGAAATAAAGACGAAATTGAGACCATCGATAAACTGTATCCCAGAGAACCTTATTCAGCACTAGTAAGGGAAATCAGTGCAAATAAGATCGAACAGTTCCGACACAAATTGAGACAGTCAAATGTTGTGGGATTTGCATGGCTACTTCAACCCGAAGCAAACAACGAAATTTCAGTATTGGTGCCTCCCATTGACGAAATCTTGTTCTCGGAGGCTTACCTGCATGCTAAGAACAAGGAAGAATATCTACTCTCCCAGTGCGAAGTAGACCAACAAAAGATTCAGCAAGTTGCGGAATTCACAATAGGTCAACACAAAAACGAAGGGTGGATGATTGCACGGAAAATGCGATTAACAGCCAGTAAATTTGGAACTATACTGTCCGCGTGCAAACGGGATAAATATAGCCCTTCTCTATTTAAAAGCCTTTTGGAGGGATATGATCTGCAGAAAGTTCTTGCAGTGCAATGGGGTAGAGATCATGAAGAGACAGCATTAAAAACTTTCATGGAAACGACCGGGAAAAAGGTGCATCCAACAGGCTTATGGCTGCATGAATGTGGTTTTTTGGGGGCTAGCCCTGATGGTCTCATTGATACAGATAAAATATTAGAAATTAAGTGCCCCTACAAATTTCGGAATTGTACCATCAGGGAGGGAGTTGCAGATAAAAAATACTTTTTTTATTATGAAAATGATCAGGTGGTGGTTGACACATCACACCTATACTTCCACCAAATGCAGGGTCAGCTGTACATTACGGGGCGTGACATATGTATTTTTTTTGTGTGGACACCCTTTGATTGTGAATATTTTGAAATAGAAAAAGACCCAGAGTGGATTGCAAATCTAGATATTTTAAAAAAATTTTATTTGGAAAAATTTATACCAGCAATTTTTGAGGTTAAATAGAGATTGAATGTACATGTAATATATTTTTTATAATTAAATAAGTATTATTGTTATTTATTATTAGGGTTTTAAGTAAATTTCATTTTGTGGAAATTGTACAATTTATTTACTTATATATACATATTAACAATATTAAAAGTAGCATAGGTGTACATATGTTATTATTAGGTTATACAGTTTTACATTACAATAGGTATGTACATATTATGTTACAGAAATGTTTAAGAAATCATTGTTCCTCAATATCGGTATACAATTCTTCCACTTCTTTTAATAAAGGGTACTGTAAATTTGTAAGAGCTGCAATCGTTTTAAAAATTACAGAGCTATAACTGAATAGTGTAGAGGGAATAAAATTTAGAATTTTGAAAATTTTCATTCTCCTTATAGCCCGCTCTACATGAATCCTTGCCCGGGCAATACACTCTGTCCGGCGTACTTGTTCCACAGAAAACTGTGGAGTTACCAAGAAAGGTGGAACGTTAATATTTACTCCACTTGGCAATAAATCTTTAATTAAGAACCCTTTGTCGGCTAAGATCAGGTCGCCTGCTTCCAATTGTTGCAAAATCCCACAATGTCCAACGATAGCTTTATCGGAGCTGGATCCAGGATAGAGGTCACTGGCATAAGTTATTACTCCATTTGGAGCAACTCCGACTAAGCCTTTAAGGGTGTTTCGATGCTTATAGGAGCTATAAGTAAGTCTAAAAAATAATGTAAAAATATTACTGAAAATGGGACATCTATACCTACTTTTGTTTTTTCATGGATTGTCTAGGCACTGCTGAAATTACTTCTGTACAATCTAAAATGATACGGCAATTTGTGAATGTACTTGCACAATTGGGAAGGCATGATTTATTTTTAGTGCGTTTTGGGATGGAATTCATAAGCTTTTTAAAAATAATTTCATGTAGAACATGGATGAAAGTGACAACAACATTAGTTACGGTTCCCACAGAAACGTCAAATCTAAACGCCAGATCTGCATGGGAAAAATTCTGACGCAGTTTCATCAATGCAAGTAGCATTTGATCGGTCACAGAAATTTTGTGCACCTTCCACTTAGAATAATATATGATTTGTTCATTTTGGACCAGAAACAGTAAGCTTTCGAAGATGCCCCTTGAAGGTAATCCTGTATATTCGGAAATCATGTCGTCCCTTTCACAAATGTGGGCATAAGTGAAAACCACACGTAAGGTCTTCAACATCTTCTCTTTTCGCTCCAACTCCAATTTCAATAAATACATTTCTGCTTCAAGCATTGGTATTGATTTAATTGATGCCTCGGTTGTTTGAGAGCGAGCAGTCTCTGGGGAACTTTCTATTTCCACACTTAAACCACTGGGTCCTGGTTGTGGTTCTGCGAGCTTCTGTTCCATATATGGAATTGGATCTGGCATTGTTGATGGACCTTCTCGACTATAACAAAGGTTATTCCAATAGTGGTGTAAAAATGTAGGTATATACATTTTTTTTATTCATTTTTCTAACTAACCGATTCAGGAATTAGGAAGGCATATGCAAAAATAAGTTCTAAATTTTTATGTGTAGTTTTCCTAATTTCATAACATCAAAAGATCCAAGACAAGTAGGGACTGAATTAGCGGAGTGTAATTTCAAAAGATTTACCTTTCATCTTCCATAAAGACCCTCCTTTTTTTTGCCTCTGGTGACAAATAGTGAATGTGAAATTTCCTTTTCACATTATGCTCGAAGATTTCAGGGGCATTTTTTCTATCACCGTCCTTAAAATGGCAACTGCACACTCTTGCACCTGGACCAGGATCTGCATCACGCCTGTGCACGATTTATTAAAATTAACTTATAAAAATTGAAAAGCCTAGGTACCTAAGAAGCCGCTTCCATTTCCTAAATTCCTTCATTTCCTTAGGGAATCTGAAGAATTGGCATTTCTCCCTCATGTTGTTATGGTAACAATCCGGTGCCCAACATGTAATTCCCATCCTCACTATCTACAAAATATGGGAAAAAAATCAAATTTCATCAGTTATTATATTTTGTTAGGTTATGACATGATGCGTTTTACGTTCTTATTTAAAATTTCCGCCTCTTCTGAGGAGATTAATGGCGTAATTTCAAGACTTATAATGATAGTAAGGTGATGCTTACCTTTTAAACCGCTACGAATCGATGTTTTGTTTGATTTTAACAATTTTTCAATAATCGCCGTGCTGGATGTCTATTGTTGACATCCATTAACCATAACCTACCACAAGATGACGCGCACTAAATGAGCGTATTACAACGAAATCTTCGTGATGTGCTGTGTGTTGACGTTCTGCTTGTTAACAATAACGATGTTGCGAACTGCACGGCGACATCTTGATTTGTTGTGGATCGATCGAGATCTATATGCGAACGACGAAGGCTAATCGGCCATTGATGAACAGCGAATTCTCAACGTTGTTGATTCGATGGTTTCTCGGCGAAGAATGGGGCGAATTCTCTGGGCGACGAGTGCATATTGCGCTTCTGCGGCTCATGCGCGCACATGTAACAAATAGGAATATATACAGGCAAGGCAAAACGGTTATGTACAGGGTAGTATCATTAAAAGAAAAACGAAATGATATTTTATTCTAGTTTGGAGACGCAACATAGGAGGCGCTTTCGTTCGACTACTTCGCGATCATGATTTCAAGATCGTGATTCGTAGGATCACGTTTTACGAAAGAACGCGCGAATTTAAATCAAAGTAGGGTTAAAGTTGACATAGTACACATTTCCATTCGAATTACGTATTTTTTGTTTGGATTATGAAAATAATTTAAATACAGGTGGAAGTACTTGCACGATTATGCTCCTCTTCAGTTACACATATTGACTAAGCTAACATTTGAGCAAAAATATCCTTGCATTTATAGGTTAGGAATTCGTGATCATAAAACTTTTATGTTCAGTTTGTTCACGATTTTAGCAATCATGATTATAAGATCACACTTCGAAAGAACGTGATTTGACAATCCAAACGCGTTTGGATCACCGAAAGAAAGCGCTTAGGATATAGGTATAGGATCACAGAACCACTCAAACTCCACAATGTTTCGGTCTGGTTAATGACAGGCCATTTTCAAAGGAAAAATATTTTTGCTTTGACAATTCCACTCGTGTATAAAAAATCGCATAAGCCGCAATGCAATTGTCACCTTGACAGCGACAAAAGTTACCTGCAACTTTTTCAGCGACAAATGCACTAGTGGTTTTTTCACTTTATTCATTTTCGAACCAATTATCGCATTATCCTTTCCCATATGACTAGTTTGACGTCTGTCAATAATTGATTAGTTTGGTTAATTTCTTGTTCGTTAAATTGTCCTGCCGAATTACACTCGAGGTTTGTATTTAAACCGAGTAAATTTGGGTTGTTGCAATTCAAATCTGTTTCCTTTTAGCAATTGTACTCGAAAAACTGTCAACCTAAAAATGCTCCACCTGCGCATTTTTATTAGTCGACAGTTTTTCTCGTCTAATTGCTAGGCAACAGATTTTCATTACCTTAACAACCCAAATTTACTCGGTAAAATACAAACCTCTTGTGCAATTATAAGTGACAATGGTGTAGCCTCAATGACTTCCGTAATAGTTATTTATATTTTCATTTTTACTCTTCCATCATACTACTTATTAGTTTATGATCCGCACTAAATAGATAATTTCGTTGAATTTTTAGGCACTAGTGCGAAAGTAGATAGTCAATTGTAAAATTGACGTTCCCGACATTCGTGCTTTATTGGGAAAACGCGATTTAGAACGAAGGAGTGCAAAAAGTCATTTTCATTATACCTCTCCGAAAGTACTGTCTTTTCATGTATCCCAAGCGCACCGAAAGTAGGGTTTTCCCGTGCGAGCGCACTGGAATAGTTATTTACCTAACAAGTTCGGTAAGTTAATTTTCCCGCATGAGCACTTTGTTTGCAGCACGACCGTAGGGAGTGCTGCATTTAGTGCGAATGCGGGAAAATTCTTTCCGAAAGAGTTAGGTACAATATTTTTTGTAACGAATTGCGTAAAAAAAGGTCAAAATTAATAAAGTTTTGTAAATTAGCTTTTTTTAATCATGAGTTGGTAACACAATCATATGTTTGGTTGGTAACATAATTTTGTAACTACCCACTTTTAATAATGCACTGGTCACATTTAAAACTTCCACATCTTTGGTTAATACATATTTTGCCTTTGCAATGAGTGCTACTACTGGTCACGGCATTGCATCGTTTGCACTGAATATCTTGAGTTGCGTAAATACACTCGTTACATTTAAAATCCTTGGAAGCTTTGTGTGTGTTAATATGTGCTTTCTTAAACTGCATATGCGAATAGTTGCAGAATATCACTGGTCACATTTTAAGACGTTTTAACAATAAATTTTACTTTTTCTTGAGTTCCAATTCTGAAAAATAATTTGATTGCGTTATAAGTTCTTGTTTATATATTTACGTAAAACTTAGTGTACGTCTGTTTCCGATTAATCGCACTAAATACTCTCAACCAACGGTTTAATTGATTTTACAGCAGATGACAGTTAATCATGACATGACGTTCGTTGACTTCAATAAGTACTACCAACCGAAGAACGCGCATAACCCCTTCTCTCCAGCGGAAACTAAAAAACACCGCGATGCGGGAAAGTCGTTTTCCCGTGCATCGAGGATGCTTGGAAACATTATCTTTCCATTCAATGAGTACAAAAAACTTTTTCCCGTGCGCTACGAATAATCAAGTTTGCCATAGCTATCCCTATCCCATGCGTTGCCATGCATACCGCGGATTGACTTTGACATATATGTCAACCGATTTTTTA